TAATATTGGCAGTTTTGGAAGTCAGGGCGATATATGATATAATATATAATTTATAAAAGAAAGTTGTATGTTTATGTTATAACAGTTCTTATATTTGGTTATAACCAAGGCACATCAGCACAAATAAATATGCTACTATTAAAATAAGTTTGAACAGTGTCTAAAATATGCAGAATGGCTGATGTAAAGCTAAGAGGAAGAAATCAGCTTAATAACTGAACTGTGGCTACAGTCACACAATAATTTGCTTATGTGAAAATCGAAAGGGAGTGTGTTAAAAATGAAACTATTGGAGTGGTAGGATTATGGATTATTTCTCAATTAAAAAAATTCCTGTTATTATTATAATGCTCTTAACTTTTTAAAAGTTTCCAAGAGTGGGGGCAATTAGTATTAGTGGATATTTAAAAAAAATTCTCTGAAGCCTTCAAATTTTCAAATGTTTTGCTTTATTGAGGATGGGATTTTATTTTATTTTATTTATTTATTTTAAAGATTTTATTTATGAGAGAGAGAGGGAGACAGACAGGCAAAGGGAGAAGCAGGCTCCATGCAGAGAGCCCAACGTGGCTCGATCCCGGGTCTCCAGGATCAGACTCTGGTCTGAAGGTGGCGCTAAACCACTGAGCCACCTGAGCTGCCTGGAAGATGGGATTTTAAAGTAGCATTTGCCTTGATGTTAGTGCATTAAAGCCTTACTGAGATCAGGTAGAAGAAGGACCGACCAATCTATGATAGTGAAAATCAGAAATCTTTAAGTAAGTTTTATTACCTTCTTTTAAAACATTTTTTAAAAGATTTTTGTTATTCATGAAAGACAGAGAGAGAGACAGAGACAGAGACATAGCCAGAGGGAGAAGCAGGCTCCATGCTGGGAGCGTGGATGTGGGACTCTGTCTCAGGACTCTGGGATCACGCCCTGAGCCAAAGGCAGATGCTCAACTGCTGAGCCACCCAGGCGTCCCAATTACCTTCTTAATATACAAATAAAAATTCATGGTTTATTAAGTAGTGCAGAATTACATTAATGAGATTTTTTATAAATTTTTCAGTTGTATATAAATTTTACTAATAGAAAACAATTGAACAAATCAAGTCTTGTTAAGAACTATATATGTATATATATGTATTTTAAAGATTTTATTTATTTATTCATGAGAGACACAGAGAGGGCAGAGACATAGGCAGAGGGAGAAGCAGGCTCTCTGTAGGGAGCTTGATGCAAGACTGGATCCCAGAACCCCAGGATCATGACCTGAACCAAAGGCAGATGCTCAACCACTGAGCCACCCAGGTGTCCCAAGAACTATGTTTTTATAACCATTTAATTTAAAAAAATTTTTCTTTTGGTGGAGGTGCTGGGCAGCAAACTAAAAGTTTCTTTTAAAAAAAAAATAAAAGTTTCTTTTCAACTGTAAAATACATATAACTTTACCATCTTAATCATTTTTATAGTATACCATTAAGTATTATTAAGTACATTGGTACTGTTTTGCAACCTGTCTCCACAAGTATTTTCATCTTACAAAATTAAATTTTATATGCATTAAAATGGAGCTTTCCAATACTCCCCTACCTCCAGACTTAGCGATCATCATTCTGTTTCCAGTCAGTATTAATTTGCTGTAAGTATTTCATCAAGTGGAATCACACTTTTGTCTTTTTGTTTTATTTCACTTAGCACAGTGTCTTCAGGGTTCATCCATGTTGTAGCATGTTAGAATTTTCTTCCTTTTTTAAGACTCATACTCCATTTTATGTATATACTATGTTTTGTTTATCCATTCATCCATGGATGGACATTTGGGTTACTTCCACCTTTTTAGCTATTGTGAATAAATAAGGGTGTTATGAACATAGGTATATAAATATCTTTTCAAGACTTCAATTTTTTTGGATATATAGCCAGAAGTGGAATTGTTGGATCATATGGTAATTCTATTTTTATTTTTTTGAGGAACTACCATACTATTTTTATCAACTGCACCATTTTACATTCCCACTAATATTGCACAAGACTGCAGTTTCTCTGTATCCTTGCCGGCACTTATCCTCCCAATGGCTATGGGGTGTTATATCATTGGGGTTTTGATTTTCATTTGTTTGGTGATTAGTTATTTTTTCTTATGCTTGTTGGCTATCTTATACTTGTTGGCTTCTTGGGGGAAATGTTAATTTATTTTAAGATTTTTTTCTTAAGTAATCTCTACATCCAATATGTGACTCGAAGCAACAACCCTGAAATCAAGTGTCTCAATCAAGCTCAGTCAAGCTTTACCCACTGATCTCTTGATAATTGGAAAATCCAAACTGACTTAATGAAGAAGGAATTTATTGGTACATATAACTGAGAATACTGAGTTCAAGCATGGGTGGATCCAGGGACTCTAACATTGTTTTTAGGGGAGTATTACTCTTCTATTTTATTCTGAGTTAGCTTTATATTCTGGCAGATTTTCCTCAAGAATGGCAATTATAGGGGTACCTTGGTGGAGCGTGAGGCTCTTGTTCTCAGGGTTGTGGGTTCGGGCCTCTTGTTGGGTTTAGAGATTACTTGAAAATAAAACCTTAAAAAAAAAAAGGGATGGCAATTATAATTATCAGCAGTTGCAGGCTTATCTGATCAGTTCAGCCATGGTGGGAGGAGAATAGAGAACAGGGCATTCTTTTTCTTTTCTTTTTTTTTTTTTTTTTTTAAGATTTTTATTTTATTTATTCATGAGAAACACACACAGAGAGAGAGAGAGAGCGAGAGCGCGTGCAAGAGTGGCAGAGGGAGAAGCAGGCTCCATGCAGGGAGCCTGACGTGGGTCTCAGTCCCTGGGCTCTAGGATCAGGCCCTGGGCTGAAGGCAAACCGCTGAGCCACCCAGTCTGCCTGGCATTCTTTTTTCTAATAGCTTCAGCCCAAATCAATAGCATCAGTCAGAGTTCCTGAGATCAAACCTTTTGGCTTAGTTTGAGTAATATGCTCAGAACCAATCATTGGGGAACAAATATAGAAGGATGGAATGCTCTGGGCAAGTCTGTGTTGTATCTTAACTCCTAAAATTAGTGCTGCAGATGGGATAGAGTTTGGATTGAGGTCAGTTCTGGATGAACCCATGAACTAAAAGTGAAGGCGATGAAGGTTTCTTCAAAGGAAAATCAGAACTCCTTTGTTACTAGAAACTAGGTAAATAATATTCACTGTAGTATAAAAATGTGTATTTAATCACAATACTGCAATGCTAGATTCTCTGTATGTCTTAATCGAACAGCTGTCAAATACTTTTGCATATTAAATCATTTGAGAAACTTTAAACTTTTTTTTTTAGAGGAAGGTGGAGGGAGGGGCAGAGGGAGAAGGAGACAGAATCTTAAGCAGGCTCCATACCCAGTGTGGAGCTATCATGGGCTCAATCTTATAACCCTGAGATCATGACCTGAGCCAAAATAAAGAGTTGGGTGCTTAACTGACTGAGCTACCCAGACACTCCAGGGAGCTTTTAAATATCTTGATGCCTTGGCTGTATACTCTAGATCAATTAAGTCAGAATTTCTAGAGGTAGTACCTATGCCTCTGTTTTTTTAAGTTTCCAAAGTTTGTTTTCCATATGGAGCCATGCTGCAGAATCGGATCATTCATTATATCAGTGTTTCTCCAACTTTACAGTGGATTAAGGTAATCTGGAGATCTTGTTTATTTTTTTTTATTATTATTTTTGTTTCTTTTTTGAGATCTTGTTTAAAATGCAGAATGCTGCTGGGTACCTGGGTGGCTCAATTGGTTGAGCCTTTGATCCAGGATCCTGGGATTGCGTCTTGCTTTGGCTCCTTACTCAGTGGGGAATCTGCTTGTTCCTTTCCTTCAGCCTCCCACCCTGCTCATGCTCTCACTTTCTCTCTCAAATAAATAAATAAAATCTTTAAAAAAATAAGTGCAGTGAACTGGGGCCCACTCTCAAAGATTGTGATTCAGTAGATCTGAAGTGGGGGGGGGGGCTCAGACATTCCTAGGTGGCCCTATGTTATTGGTCCTAGAACTATGTAATGCTGTGAGGAGCATTACATTAGATTATGAGCATCTTCAAACCAGCCAGTTTTTAAGTTCTTTAATTTGTAGTACTTTAACTCATTTTCCCACCTACTAGTCTATATAGGCTGTTTGGTAACTTATTTCTGTTTTATATACTTATATTAGCATGTGCTCTTTTGGGTTCTACAGGATACAAAGATAGCATGGATACAGGTATATACAGTTTCAAATTATTTTGTTGTTTGGTTCCAGGAAATTGATTCTGACATCATGAAATCTTAATGTTTGTTAAGGCAATTTGTCTTTAACACAGTTGTAGAAAATAACTTCTAAAACCCATTTACCTGGGGATCCCTGGGTGGCGCAGCGGTTTGGCGCCTGCCTTTGGCCCAGGGCGTGATCCTGGAGACCCGGGATCGAGTCCCACGTCGGGCTCCCGGTGCATGGAGCCTGCTTCTCCCTCTGCCTGTGTCTCTGCCTCTCTCTCTCTATGTGTGACTATCATAAATAAATAAAAAAATTAAAAAAAAAATAAAACCCATTTACCTGCCAGTGACCTTTTTACTTTAGCCCTCTTTTGTCCTTTAACCTCAGTGACTACAAAGGCTCAAAATTCAAAGGACTCAGTGCAATTTAAATGTATCTGATTAATGTGTAATATAGGCCTTGAAATAATTTGTAATTATGTATTGTCCTGTTGGTCCTAACCATTGCTTATCTAATCAGAATAGACCACCTACTTTCAGACGCTCACCCTCTTTTGGACATGATTATTTGTTGACTGAATTAATTGTAGGTGTTTCTTCCTACTGATGCTTTGAAACATTTGTTTGCCTCTTCTTGTGAGCGTTGACTTGACACAAATTACTTTGACTAGGTAAAAATGAAATCATGTTATCAAATGCATACTAAGTTATTTTAGTTTACTCATGAACCCTATGATGCTTATTATTTTCTTTTTATGCTGTTTTGTTTTAAAACAGGCTCATAGCACGTCAGCTTGCTAAAATCCATGCTATCCATGCACACAATGGCTGGATTCCCAAATCTAATCTATGGCTAAAGATGGGAAAATATTTCTCTCTCATTCCCACAGGATTTGCAGATGAAGACCTTAATAAAAGGTAAATTTACTTTTACATTTGAAATTGTTTCAGCCTTGTTTTTCTATACATAAAAGGTTTCAGAGATAGCTTACAAGATTTTTGTGTATAAAGTCTGGTTGGTTGCTCTTTTCACATTTGATTAAATTAGCCCTGATTCATTTGACCTTCAGGTGGCACTACAGAAATATAACCGCCCCTCTCCCCACCCAACTCAAAACCAAAGCAAAACAGAAAAAACACCCTACAAAAGCCAGAGGTAGGGAGTGGGTAGAGGTACCCAGCCAAGAAACAAATATATTTATTTAGAAGTAAACATAGTGTTACGATTGCTAGGAATGGTACTTTATGCATGGAGTGAGTTGGTGATGGAGCCCTTTTTAAAAAATTCTTTTTGTTCAAAGCTGTTTATTATTTATTTGTTTATCTTTTAAGATTTTATTTATTCACGAAGGGACACAGAGGCAGGCAGAGACATAGGAAGAGGGCAAAGCTGGCTCCCCAAGGTGAGCCTGTTGCGGCGCTCCATCCCAGGAACCTGAGCCAAAGGCAGACACTCAGCCACTGAATCACCCAGGCATCCCTATTCAAAGCTGTTTTAAGTATGCCAGAAGATTTACATTGGTGCAGTGTAGTAATATTGGAGTGTGAAAACATTTGGATTGTCTTAGTTTACTGAGACTATTCAAATCTATTATGAGGTTGAAAATTCAGTTACAGGAGTCTTACTCAGCTTTTTTTTTTTTTTAAGATTTTATTTATTCATGAGACACACACACACACACACACACACAGGAACAGACACAGGCAGAGGGAGAAGCACCTGGGCTGCCCTTACTCAGCTTTTGTAAAACTGACTCCCCAGGTTCCAAGTAAGGTATTTTATTATTCTTTGTATAAAAAAATTGTAAATTAGTATTTATTTATTGATTTATTTTTTAAGATTTTATTTATTCATGACAGACACACGGGGGGGGGGGAGAGAGAGAGAGAGAGAGAGAGAGAGAGAGAGAGAGAGGGAGGGAGGGAGAGAGGGAGGCAGAGACATAGGGTGATGCAGGCTCCCTGTGGGGATCCTAGTACGGGACTTGATCCCGGGAACCCAGGATCACAATCTGAGTCAAAGGCAGATCAACTGATGAGCCACCGAGGCATCCTGTAAATTAGTATTTAGAATCTTATATGAACATATTTTTATAGTCTGATTACTACTAGGACAAAAATTAGGAATTTTATTTTCTTCTTATGTCTAAAACATACTCCAACTTTTGTATTCAGGAAATTTTCATCTAAGAACAATAGAGACAGAGAGGACCTATAGAGTTTTTCATGTTTCTCTTTTTACTATTTATTAGAGAAAAATCGCTGTATTATTCTGTTGAATTGGATTATTTTAGAGATTAGTTTGATTCACTCAGTGTATATGTGTTTATTTGCAGGTGGTTTGTCAAACTTTGAATTTGTTAGGGATAGTAGATAGCCATTAACTGGGATAGATAAACATTTGTCTAAGTGTGTCCAGTGTGCTAGATTCTAAGACGTGATAGTGTAAAAACACAAAATCCTCTTTTGAAATAGCAATTTTATTGAAGAATTCTATTGAAAAATTTAAAAATAATGAAGTATTGGCAATAGTGAATGTATGATTTTCTCGACTTTTTAAGATAATGCAGAGTTTAGAGACAGTGTAGTATTGTGTGGATTAAGAGCACAAGATGCTGGAGGCAGCCTGCCTAGGATGAAGCCTTAATTCTGCCAGTTAACAGTTCTGCTTTATAAGCTGGGGCAGAAGTAAAATGGAAATAAGAGTAGTATATTTACCTTTTAGAGTTTTTATGACGGCTCATTGAGTTAGTATGTACAATGTAGAACAGAGCGCAAAAAGCACTCTGCCCTAATAGATAATATACAACGAAAATGTTAAAAACAGTTAAAATATTAGAAATATGTTTCATATTTTCTTCTGTTCCTTTTTGTTTGTATATAATTGTAATTATGTTCAATCCTTTGAGTTCTATTATTTCTGTTCAACTCTTTACCTTTTAAATAGGTTCTTGAACAATTACACCATTTTGAAAAGAGTGTATAAGGATTGTATTTGGAAGCTGTGTTTAGAGAAGAATGCAACATTGGCAAATACAGGCAGCAAACATCTAAGTAGGCCACTTTATTAAAATTAAGTTCATGGACAGTCTTTATTATATTGTACATTGGAAAAGTAAGGTGCTAATTTGAGTGTAGAGAAAGAATGAAGAAAACTTGGCTTAAAGTGTTAAGGGAAGAGGAAGCATAAACTAACAGCAATTTTGTAAGCCAGATGGTGCTATTGAGGAATGAGTGGTAGCACTCTATTTTTGTTTCATTTTATTTTTATCAAATGAGTATAAATATAGTGTAATAAATAGTACAGAAGACTGTAGGATTAAAAAGCCATGAACTCTAGTCCTCTTTGCTACTCTGCCTACCAGACTTCCCAGTCTCATTACTTTGAAACTATTTCTATAATAGATAATGGAGTATTCTAGATATGATTTCATAGACAATATCTGATGATTATCATAGAATTGATTAGGTTTATTAATAGTGATAGTCTGTTGACTTTGATAGGTAAATTTAGCTGATTTGTACTACATTCACCCTTCCCGTAGACATTTTAGTTTTTTTAATAAACTGTCTTTATAACTTTAAATAATATACTTAAACCTCTTTTTTATTAACTCTTTGTATCTTGGACTCCTGGGTAGCTCAGTGGTTGAGCACTGCCTTCAGCTCAGGGTGGGATCCTGGGTCCGGGGATCGAGTTCTGCATCGGGCTCCCTGTGAGGAGCCTTCTCCGTCTGTCTGTGTGTGACTCTGCCTCTCTCTCTCTGTCTCTCATGAATAAATAAATAAAAAATCTTTAAAAAATAAACTTTGTGTCTTGGAGATAACTGTTAAACATTTAGAATAGTGCTCAGTAAATGCTAGCCATTAAATATACATATTTCCTCCCTGTATTTTTTTTTTCCTCCCTGTATTTTTTTAAAGATTTTATTTATTTATGAGAGACACATGGAGAGAGAGAGAGAGAGAGAGAGAGGCAGAGACTGAGGCAGAGGGAGAAGTAGGTTCTCTGCAAGGAGCCTGATGCGGGACTCCATCCCAGGACCCTGGGATTATGACCTGACCTGAAGGCAGATACTCAACCACTGAGCCACCCAGGAGTTCCTCCTTCAATTTTGTAATAAATGATTTTTTACATTTCTGCCCTGTGTTTTAAGTTGCTTAGTTTCTTTTTTTTTTTTTAATTTTTATTTATTTATGATAGGCACACAGTGAGAGAGAGAGAGAGAGAGAGAGAGGCAGAGAGAGAAGCAGGCTCCATGCACCGGGAGCCCGACATGGGATTCGATCCCGGGTCTCCAGGATCGCGCTCTTGGCCAAAGGCAGGCGCCAAACTGCTGCGCCACCCAGGGATCCCCAGTTTCTTTTTATTCATATTAAGTTCATGAAATAAGATTTTCCTTTATTCCAACTTTTGTAATGGCCTGTTTTAATTCAGGAGTCTATGCACTTGAATGGAAAGATTTTACTAAAAATAGATTTTAGGGCAGCCCTGGTGGCTTAGCGGTTTAATACTGCCTTTGGCCCAGGGTGTGATCCTGGAGACCCAGGATTGAGTCCCACATCAGGCTCCCTGCATGGAGCCTTGCTTCCCCCTCTGCCTGTGTCTCTGCTCCCCCCCTTTGTTTTTAATAAATAAAATCTTTAAAAAATAGATTTTAATCTTTAAACTTGAAAAAGTCAATATAAGCAATATATAACTTTATTTTATTTTATTTTTTTAACTGAAAGGTTCTTAAGTGATATCCCAAGCTCTCAGATTCTTCAGGAAGAAATGACTTGGATGAAGGAGATTCTTTCCAACCTGGGCTCACCTGTTGTGCTTTGCCATAATGACCTATTGTGTAAGAATATAATCTACAATGAGAAACAAGGTAGGTATCTGACCTTATCAGTAAGTAAAGTTGATTCCTTTGATGTTCTTAATGGTCCTTTGATCTTTGTATCAGTAAATAAATTTAATGCAGATGTAAGGATTAAAAATATTCATGAAGTCTTTAAAGATTTTCTTTTAGGTTATAAAATCGTGGTAACTGTGCTAAATTAATATATATTCTCTATATTTGTATAAAACATTTATTAGAGTGTGATTCTTGTTAAGAGTCTTAAATGAAAAATGATAAAATGACTTTGTTTTTAAATTTAACTGTAAAATCTTTTAATTCATGGTTTGAAAATGTACCTTCTTGTAATGGGGGTTATTGAAAAACCAACTGACATTGCAGTGCTCTTAATAAATACAGAATTTTCTCAGTGTTGGGAAGGATGACAGTATTAGAAACAAATTTGTCTCCAGGTTTTCTATTTGTTTATTGTGCTGATTTGTTAGATATTTTGATGCTAAAGAGAGCTACAGATGGAGGAAATGTTATTTGTACTTGCTGAAATTTATATCTATTAAAGTAGTAATCAAGAAGCTTTGGTAAATAGTTTTAATATTTTTTGAGGTATAGACAGTGATATTTTTGATGAAATGTTTTCTGTAATTGTTCATATCTTGCTGTATTCAAATTCTCTGTTTACATATTTAAGAAACACTTGTGGTTGTATTACGGTATTGGATAAAAGTGGTTTGAGGTTTGGTTGCTAAAATATAGATGCCCCTTCAATAATAAATTGAAATTGGAAAATGTAATTATGGTTGAAGGATTAGTATTAATTTAAAAAGTCTGAAATTGTGAAACTTTCATTTTAAAGGAAACAGTTTTGAGAATAGTCATTGTAGTTGGAAGATTATTTTAAATCAAAATTGTGCTTTTGTGAGAATGCTAAAGCCAAACAATTCTGATGAAATGGTCATAAATTCTATTAAATTACTATTTATGACCATTCTTACTTGATTGTAACATGAGACTGTTCAAATGCAAAGATTGTTCATATTTGTAACTGACTTTGACTTGAAGAAAATTAACCAAAGAGCACTGTCAAGGATGGTAGACTGAAGCATATATTCTTAAAAACATGTTCGAGTACCTTTTATATTTTATATTTTAATGTGGATTAGAAGTTTTATTTTTTAGAATACATTAAGCTGACATCTTTATTTTGAATGTTGGAGGTCTTTGTGTGGAAACATTAAAAAAATCTTAAAGGTGTACCTTAAAACATGTAGTGCTTGACAGTGTCCTATTTATTATTTACTATCCATTTATTATATATAATTGTCACATGTATACTCATTATATACTAGTAACCAAATCTCAAGGCCATTTGTGAGACAAGAGTATTAGTTATACATTAAAGCGATGTATTAGCTTTTAAGTTCAGTGCAAAACCAAATAACACAATTTATATAATGGAATTTCAAGTGAGGGACTTCATCTTACGTTTGAAGTGGACACTCAGCTTTATTTTTAACTGCAAGATAATCAAAGAGAATCTTATTTCCTTTGGAATATATTTTACCTTTTCATATTTTTATTTTATAAGTTTCTTTTGCATATTCATTTCACAGACCAAACTTGTTTATAAAACTAAAATATAAGGGACCAAAAAAATCAGATTACTTTGTCTTAAGTTAAAAAAAAAATGCATTTTTACTTTTAATCAGTTGCTTATCTAAACTGTTTTCAGTGATATGAAAAGTTCTTATATTTTCAAACAAATCTTTCTGTTTCAGTTTGACTCTTAAGATTTCAAGGTTATTCATTTGTTTGTTTTACCAGAAGTTAACCTAAATCATATTTTTGTGCCTAATTTTTCTTCCCTACACAGAAGAATTTCACAGTTCAACAAATGTAACTATTTTGATACATTTTTTAGTTTTTCTTTAAGAAGTCTATTGTGTACCATTTGTTTCTTCTTGTCTTTGTGGTTATGTTTGTGTGTTAGTTATGGATATGTTCTGTTATTTTTCCTTGACAGTGGTTTTATAGTGTCTTTTAGGAAGGCAAGTTTGGACTTTATGGCATCCATTAAAAAAGTCCATTGCTATGTGATTAGTTGATACATAGGATTAAGAAAATACAGTTGGAATGTTCAAGTAAAATCTAAAACTCATGAGAGTGTGGCAAGAGGTTTGTTACGTGTATTATTTTCTATCTGTTTGAAATTAGGAGCTAATGGTTTTAAAGTAATGTAACTGTATGACATACTTGCTTTTAGTTATAAGGAGAACATACTATGCTTATTAATAATTGTAAACGCTGTAAATTTAGTAAATTTAATGAGCAAAAAGTTAGACTGTAGCATTAGTACTTACAGCTGCAATTTCAAAGATGATAATTAAAATTAGAAATAGGGATTGCAGAAGTTCTTTACCTTAACTGGCTAAGCCAAGGGTGCAGTCTTTTGAGGCTAAATTAATTTCTACATAGGGTAAATGATTATATTGCATATTATATTCATAGATGTGTTTTAATTTATCACTTGTTGAGTGATTCATGTGATTTGAGTTTAAAACTTCAGTATTTTGTACCCACTTGAGTTATAAATATGTAAGCATAGTAAGATGAAAGCCAAGGTACTGGCTTTAACATCATCAAACTTAGTATCTCTCTCCGTAATATGTTTCATACCCTTCATTTTTCAGAAGTGCAAATTTTAGTTTTAAACTATGAATTTATAGTGGATCATCTTGAAGTCTCCACATGTATTTTTCAACTGTAATAACTTAGATTTTGTATGTTGTCACCAGATTAAGAATTTCTGAGTAACTCTTAGAAAGCAAATGTATTAAGAGCTTAGTTACAACTAAGAGAAATTGGAAAAAATGTAGATGTTAGAACCAAGCACACACAGGTTCACATTCCTGCTCAATCACATGTGGAAGTAGGTGATACTAGACAAATCATTTTCCCTTTTTCCCTTTTTAAAGATTTTATCATTAAGTTATCTCTACATCCAATATCAGGCCTGAACTTAACAACCATGATATATAGAGTTGCATGCTCCACTGATTGAGCCAGCCAGGCACCCCCATTTTATTTTTTTATTGTTTATATTTGATCCCTGACTCTCTGCACCAGAATCACCCAGAGTACTTGGAAAAAAATGCAGGCTTCTATGTCCCATCTAAGACTAACTGAACAAGAATTTCATAGATGGGCTAAGGAATCTGCATGTTTAACAGGTTTCCATGCAGTGCTTATACTTTTTGATAATCTAGAACTTTTAATATGCTTTATTTCTAACTTAGAGGTAATATCTACTTCAGGTGATTCCTGAGAAAAATTTGGGTTATGTGTATAAAGTATATAGCATTGGAGTATATACTTAGCAGCTCATGACTGCTGCTGTTATAAAAGGGGTTGGCAAACTTTTTCTGTAAGGTGTGATAGTACATATTTTAGGCTTTGTGTACCATATTATAGTCTCCATTGTGACTGTTCAGCTCTGTTGTAGCACAAACACAGCCATAGGTAATACATTAATAAATGAGTGTGACTGTGTTCCAGTAAAACTATTTACAAGACCACGCAGTGGTCCAGATTTGGCATGAATATACATAGTTCGCCAACCTCTTTATTATGTTTACAGGATGCATTTTACAAAATATACTTGATTCTGAAGAAGTGAAAATAGTTATTATAAGCCAGTGGTTGACTTACATATATGTCTTACAACTAGTGGAATTATGTATGGCTCATAGGTGTATAAGATGACAATCAGTTTGTCTTTAAGTGCAGCTTCCAGATTTTATCCTAACTATAACTTGAGTGAGTAAAGTTTAAAAATGTATATATGTATGTGTTTATGAACATTTAAGTACATATTTATACACACATACATATACACAAAGATTGTGAGCACCCTGCAGTTTATAGGCTTTTGTACCTGTGAATGTTACAGAAGATGGTAGGCATCACAGGAAGAAATACTGCCTCTACCTGTTTTCACCATGTCAGTTGACAGGACACAGGAATATGGGAGAAGAGTGAGCTTCCTTTCTGAAGGTGATGGTAGCTGTCAAGATTTTTGAAAAGTTAGTGCCAGGAATTAGGTGGTTGGTAAACAGCGGCCCATTCCTTGCCTTCAGTGAAATGACATCTTAAAAAGGTAAGGAAAGAATGCTTACTGATACGATGATAGAATTTATTACATAATAAGAAAACCGGAAGCAGCGGTTCTTGCTTCCAGAGCTGTCCGTCATCTTTTAAATTAATCATTAATTTAAAAAGAATTTATCCGAAGTAGAATAAATTGTAGTATTGCTTATAGACTAACTGACTTGAATTCTAATACTATAACTTCAACTAACCCTTAAACTGCTGCCATGTTAGAAGTAATTGCTAAAGCTTTTGAGTATGTTCTCTCATGTCTTGATGCTCTGTCTGAATGTTTATTGGTGACTATTTCATTTCTCCCCCCTCCCCATTTTTTCATAAAAGCTCAGATAAAGATTTAATATAGAACTTTAAAATTCAGTAATGACAGTCATTGATTATTTTCTCTGTCAGTGAAATACAACTTGCTGATTTACAGTTATTTAAAGAAATACAAATGAGTGAAAGAAAAATAAAACTTATTCTGGGAATTATAATGTAAACCAGGTTTTTCTTTAGAGTTTTACACATTGTAAATAGAAAATGTGTGAGGCACCATTCTCAGTCACTTGGTTGGCTTTAAGTCTTCCCACTCTATTACTCATGAAAAATACTGTGGTTTGGTTGTTTCATTGATATTTTAATGACAGGGTTTTTTGTTGCAGTTGTTGGTTTTGTTTTAAAATTTAAGTAAATACAAATTTATTTTTGCATTTGGTAACCTGTATTTTCCAAAGTGGAGTTTTTATGAAGGATAGTCTTAACCTTGTTTTAATTTTGGATTACTACTTAGCATAAAATAAAACGTCCTTAAATTCAGTTATTAAAAGCTTGAATGGACTGTAAAACCTGAACTATGAAGGAAGAGCTGCCTAAAAGTTATTAGCTTAGTGTTTTTTCTTTACTCATACATTCATTCCCACTGTATGTTCAAGCCTGTACATGAATGTCAGAAATGCCATACTTTGTTCTTAGTGTTTCATGCTTATTCCTTCTTCCCCACCACCCATTTAAACGTGTGTTATCATTGTGTCTCAGCATTCTATGCAAAGCCCTCCATTTATAAGCATTTTAATACTTAACTATGTGCTAGATATTGATTACTGTGGATTGCATGATGAAAGATGAAAGGGACTTATTGTCCTTCTAGGAAGCCATATTCCATGTAGTGGAGGAGTCAGATCATGAAACAGTATATTTATGTTCAGAATGATGAGCACTGTGGTGGAGGTATATACAGGTCCTGGACGCCAGAGTGAGGGATGAAGAGAAAGTTTCTCAGAGCAGACTATTCCAATACTTTTTCTGATGAGAGAAAAAGCCTTTTGCTAACAGTAGTGTAATTGTGGTTATTTTTTCTCTTTGTTCTCTCTCTACCTTACCTAACACTTGCAGAGCAAGTAGAGGGAGTTGAAAAGGTTTTCAAGTTCTCATATTGATTATTTTGCTTTTTATTTTTATCCCTTTCTCTTTAACTACAAAATAAAGGAATCCAAACAAATGTAGCATGTGAATTTTATAGCCTTAGTTATTAATAAACTAATTCTTTTTGGTTTAAAGTACTTTAAAAATTGGCTATTTAGAGCTATACTGAGATATGAACAATTAAACTCAGTAATGTGTGGATTTCATAACTGAAGATATGCAAGAATTAAAGTAAATAAAAAGAAAAATGTAGCTCTTAAAAATCTGAGTTATAGCTTTATTCATTAATCTTATGATTTACCCATTATGTGCAATGTATTAATTAAGTAAAGATAAGGAATATATAATCTTAGCCACTAAAGCAGTGCTGCTTTACTTTTTTAGAGGTCAGGGATCCCTTGTGAATCTGGAAAATTGAGAATGCCCTCAGAAAATGAACATATAAAATTTTGTAAAAAATTTTGGGAGTAGTCTCATTTTTTTTCATTCTTGAAACCACAAAAATTCATGTCTTAAAGAATTAAAGATAGTTGTGCCATATGAACTATTATTGATAGTGATGTGGATATTCTAAACAATTGGAAATTTTAGAAACCAGAAGTTAAATTTGTACAAGAAAAAGGTTCAGTATATTTTCTCTTGGTAGGAAAGCATTTTCCAGTAATTTGATTTTTCTGGCACCCAAAATAAGTGAAGTAGGCCTTTTTAATTTTATTTTGTTGCAGAAGATTAAATTTAAGGTTGAGTTCCACTTTGTTTGCAATAGTTTGAAAAAAGAATAGTTAATGCAGATTTTTAAAAAAAGATTTTTCCTTTTAAGCTTTGTGTCTTGTAAAATGTGAGTTTGCCAAATTTTCTTCATCTGCTACAGATTAGGTATGCCATTGTTGCTGCCATGTGGCGGCGCACCCCGTGCTTCTTAAACGCACTGACTGGAGGTTTATCGCATCACTTGTTCACATGCACGGAGCCTGGTAACAGCCTCATCTGTATCTTGTTAGCTTCATTTTCTTATTTTTTAAATTTCATTATTTATAAACTCAACATTGCATTTAAAAATAAAGGCTAGTTTTAATGAATTAATGCTACTACAAAAAGTCATTGCTAAAATTTTCATACTGAAACAGATTTTAACTTATGTTAAGATGATCTATGCTTTATTTAAATTGTATTTACTCTACAAGCAGGCATTTTTACCTGCCATTTTAACTATAGTCGCCAAATTCTAAATATATTTTGAAAATTGAAATTGAAGCTTTTGTTTATGTGGCAAAAGTAAGCTTCAGGACTGGGCTGTGTATTTTTATTGGCATGTAACAGTTAATATGAGCTCTACAAGAATTTGTGTTTAAAGAGTTAAAGCAATCAACAGCTGCAATTTAAAAAAAACTATTAAAACTGGTTGACTCAGTTTTGCAACTTGTTGAATCTTCTTGAGTCCTGATTTCTTAAAGACTGGCTGGATAGATCTATCCCGAATCATTATTAGTCTCTTACCTATTGACAATTTTTGTTTAGAGAATTCATCTTAATCTTTTTGAGCTGTCATTTTTTTTCCTTCTAAAAGTAATGTCTATTGTTAGTGATTTAAAATAAAAGGAAAAAAAGGTCACTTGTCTATCACCTGTAATGAAACCAGTTGAAACATACTGTTTTAGTTAATTTCCATTCATCTTTTCCCCCTATGCATTATATGTTTTTCTCTCTTTCCAGGCATAATATTTTAATAATTTGGATCACTGTGTTTACTATTTTATATCTTTTTTTTTCATATAACATTTGTAATTCTCCTGGTCATCAATTTTTGAAAATGAAATTTTTTTTCATGGCTACAGAGTATTTTGTCATGATGGTGGTCTTCACCCTCTTATTCCCAGTGGTATCTAGAACAAACTTTAAAACATGTTTTCACTTCCCATTCTGCAATTTACTACAGTAATTTGGTTAACTTTAAGACTTTTCTCTGGGATAGTTTTTTTAATTCAAGACTATAATACTTATGGTGGTTCAATTGCAGTGATTTATTATAGTCACCAACATTTTAAAACCTTATATTTATTTTGTCAGTATGCATGTAGATTTTGATAACTGGGCTTTGATACTCTGGTAATGCTCAATTTACTCTAGACTTGATTATTATTTATACAAGTTTAGAATTATATATTAAATGCAATTACATGAAAAATTTTTTGCTTTGTTAATATTCCATTTGCCATGATATTTTTCTGTCATGTAATTCTCTTTTTCTGAGTTTGGATATAATCAGCATATACCCCTAACTTAAACATGTATCTCTGTATCAAGATACTATAGTTCAAAAACTCTTTTAGTTAGAAAATGCCAGTGTGTGTAGACCAGGAGTTTGTTTTGTTAATTCATTTTGATGTTTAAAAGACAGTAGTGTAACTAGGCATTTGTTATGCATTTTCTCAATATAAGCTGCTTAGAAACTGTTCTTACAGCCATCTCTGTTCGTGTATCCATTTTAATCGTATGGCCCTGTAAGCCTTTGAGTTTGTGATGCCTGGTGTCGACAGTGACCCATTTTATTTTTGTTTTTTTAATGTCTCTAACTCTTTCTCTCCCTTTTAATAAAACTTTTTCTCTTGTCTCTTTTTTAAAAAGACCTATATCTTTGTTCAGACAAACCCTCTATAATAGTACTCAAAAATGAATGTTCCTGAGCAGGAGCATGTCCCCTGGGCTGGTAGAGCAGGATTGTCTTTGGAGAAATGTAATGAAATATGCATATATATTTACCATTAATTTAGAATAGGCATCTATCTTAAGATTGAAATATGCATATATATTTACCATTAATTTAGAATTGGCATCTATCTTAATGTAAAAATTTCTCAAAGAAAAGTTTACAAGCAACTTTGTAACTTTGTTCTTTTTAAAAGATAAAACCACCACCGTAATGCTGCTCAGGTATGCTATTGGAAATATTAGTTATGTAGCACTGGAGGAAAATAAGAGTTTATAGCAACTAATTTCTTAAATTAGGGATATTGTCAAATTGATCAAGTATGATAGCAAAACTGCAGGATCTGCAGAATTCAAGTCTTTCAAAGTTTATATTTGATCTGTATATGTAAAGTAGCTTGTCAGTTTACTTTTGGAGTGTCATAATTTGTTAAAATTGCATAGATTATTAATTTCCAGAGATAGTATTCATTTCTCATTAAACTTGAATTTTTAAGTAACTGATGCCCCCTTGTGGTGAAAGAGATATTTTGCTTTTGTCTGAATTTGGAGAAGGATTATTTTGACTTTTCTTTAATACAGTGGACATTAGTGTTCACAAAGAAGCTGTTGACAATATGTAATTTGAATTTTGTAAAGCTCATTGCCATAAAATTCACAGCCTTACCCTGTATTGTCTCAGAAGTGCATGTAACCAAGCACATACAATGAGACTAAATTTTGGAAGCTATTTAATTACAAATAGCATAGGGATTTTCTGATCTTATATATGATTTCTTATGTCTTTGTTTTTGTGTCTCACATAGGTGATGTACAGTTCATTGATTATGAATATTCTGGATACAACTACCTGGCATATGATATCGGAAATCATTTCAATGAATTTGCAGGTAAAATCGAGGGTATAACTAACGGAGCAGCATATATAACTTTGAAATAATTATTTGAGAACTGTTTTTTTGGTTTATACTTTTTCTTTAGAGAAGATCACCTGGGACGTACCAGGGACATTTTTTTTTTTCTTCTTTTTTTTTCAGGGACAACATTTTTAAATTCCTTCCTGACCTTGTACTTTGTTTTTCTTTATTATTGGAGGAGGGAGAAGAGATGACCCTTTCCTTAATTCTTTTTTTTTTTTTTCCTTTCCTTAATTCCTTAAGGAAAATAAGAAAAAATAATACTTGTGACTTAGATTGACATAGTGTAACACCTTACACTCCCTCCTTCCTCCAATAATCTCATCTCACTTTTTCCTCCTGTCAATTAGGTTATGTTCCCAGTTTACAAATGGAGAAAGTAACTTAGCAAGATCACACATTTTATGACTTTATTTGGAAACAAGGAATGTTCTAAAACTAAAGATTAGGAAATTCCCCTGGATGGTTTATACTTAGGAGGGACTTTGGGACTTTTCACTGCTGAATTTTTATTTGTATACATTCATGCATTCCTATTTTTTTCATTTACTTAAGGTTATCAGACTGGGAAAAAGTTGGAGGGGGTTTTAATTGACATGTTTTTATTTTATTTTAATTAATTAATTAATTTTAATTGACATGTTTTTAGTGATTTCCCTACAACAGACTTTTCATATACATGCTATATCCCCACACATGTGCTGTACATATTTTCACTTATCTGTTGGGAGGGAAAGCAGCTGTGCATATAAGGGGACATCACCAAATCCATGTTAGTATAATGTGTAGTCACTGCTGTCAATATGAAATAGGAAACTCTCCAGTGGTCCTAATATGATTTTGTGTAGGAAAAATTGAGCTAAGCTTGCAAGTTAGGTAGAATTTGAGATGTGCAGATAGAACAGAAAGGAAAACACTGCAGGAAGGAGGAAGAAAATGTCAATGGGAGTGCACCTGTTTGTAGGATGTAAAACTCATGAAGGAGAATACGGGGGTTGGGTTATAAGACCAGAGAAGCAAAGTTTGGACCAAGTTATGTAGAACTTTGAGTGCGAGGCTTTTTAAAAAAAAAAAAAAAAAAAAAGTACGAACTTAATTTTTTAGGTTAGCATTTTTTTTAAACTGCTTATCTTTTTTTTTTAAACTGCTTATCTTAAAACCAGATTTGTTGGTTAATTATTTTAAAGTACAGAATAGAAAAGAAATAGAAAATATCCAAGTTGGAAGGTGTATAGTTAGGGTCGATAATATTTTGTGGAACTTAATACCAGTAGAGTGTATCAAAGTTCAATATGAAATGTATTTCTTAACTCCATGAGTAATGGTCAAAAATGTTTTTAGAGCTGAAGTTCTAGGAAATGCTCTAAGTATTAGTTTGCATAATAATCTGAAGTACTTATTAAATGAAGATTTGGAGCTTTTATGGTTGGTGGTTCAAGCTTCACACTCAGAAGAAATTGAAGCAATGAGAATTGATTTCATGATGACGAAATGTATTGTGCTTTAGAGTTTAAGCTGGAATACTTTATGTATTTTTGTTTATTATTTTAATGCTATTTACTTAACATCTAATTATTTAGGATTTCTTTAGGGGTTATTAAAGCATATAGAAGACGTTGTGTTTTTAAAATCTTTTAAGTGTATTTTTTTTTCGTATTAGGTGTGAGTGATGTAGACTATAGTCTCTATCCAGACAGACAACTACAGGGCCAGTGGCTGCGTTCTTACCTTGAAGCCTACAAAGAATATAAAGGCTTTGGGACTGAAGTTACTGAAAAGGAGGTAGAAATACTCTTCATTCAGGTCAATCAGTTTGCGTTGGTAAGTTTAAATATAAACAATGAAAGAGGTTTTTTTTTTGGTAAGATTCTCTATTTTATTTTTTAAGTTTTTTAAATGTATTTATTCAAGAGACACACACACACACAGAGACAGAGATATAGGCAGAGGGAAAAGCAGGCTCTATGCGGGGAAGCCTCGGGATCCTGACCTGAGCCAAAGGCAGATGCTTCAACCACTGAGCCACCCAGATGCCCCCAAAAATAAAATCTCTTTTCCCTGCATCCTCTGGCAAGTTCCTCTTACTCCATTTGGACATGTCTTAAATACTGTTTCTTCCTCTGGGACTCTTCCTTCCTTGATCACTTGTCACAAAGATGGCATATACATAATTTCTAAAACTGATTTGAGGGGTGCTGGGGTGGCTTAGTCATCAGGCATCTTCTTTTGGCTTGGGTCATGGTCTTAGGATGCTGGGATTGAGTCCTGCGTTGGGCTCCCTGCTCAGCAGGGAGCCTGCTTTCTCTCTTTCTCTCCCCTCGCTCATGCTCTCTCTTTCAAATAAGTAGATAAAATCTTAAAAAAAAAAAAACTGATTTGATAAGTGGGAAATTTTTTTTTTTTTAAAGGTTTTGTTTATTTTTAGAGAGTGCATGCAGGCATACACAGGTAGGGAAAGGGGCAGAGGTGGAGAGGGAGAGGGAGACGGAGAGAATCCCAGGTAGATTCCATGCCTAGTGAGCATGGAACCTGACCATAGAACCCGATGCTGTGTCCTGCAACCCTGAGATCATGATGTGAGCCATCCAGGTGCCCTGGAAAAGAGGTTTGAATAAAATCAGGATATAGATATTTCTTAATAAATGGCTGGTTAAATATTTGTTTATTGCTGAGGGCGTGAGCAGACTTGGAAATATTAAAAGATTTCACGTGTTTCTGATTGTTTACTATAATTAATATTAAGATGGTAAAAGTAGGTATTTGATTTATAAAATCAAATAAAGTGTACATATGGATTTTTTAAGCTGTGCAGAGTTTTTAGGCACATTGTTTTCAGACTTCAGATTATTTCTAAGTGAAGTCTTAAAGAGTTTTTAGGGGTTTTTCAGGAAACAGTTCAAGGATACATTGTTAGTTACTGGTTCATCATATAAAGCCTTAAATTTTTCTTTCCAACAGAAATGAGTAGCCTAGAAATTAAAATGCCCTTTGATAGACCTATATATCTATAACTTCCAACTCTGAAAGAAATAGTATAAGTAAATCACACAGAATATTACATTATTTTATTTGGACTTAAATTTTCTCTGCCATTTTGGGGAATGCAAATGATGAAAAAACTATTTCCTCCATTTCCTTTTCATCCATTTAAGAGTCTAATGGTAGATCTAAATTTTTCATTTTTCATACCCTAAAAGGTACTACCTGCCAAGATGAGATTTTTGTGAAGTTTTAAGTATAATCTCTCTCTAGTGCAGAATCATTTAGTTATTTTACATTACTGTAGGAATGAATGCTGCTTGAAATGGTAGGAAGAGCTGGTTTGATGTTATTTTTAGGTGTAGAATTTCCCACTTTCAGTCTTTTCTGCTTATAAAACCAGCCTAATAGGAAGAAATTACGACAGCATCCACAGATGATTTTTATATCACTTAAAATATGCCTGGTGGTTTAGATTAGCGTTCTTACCCTTTTTGGTCTCAGGATTCTCTATACACTTTCAATACGTTTTGAGGACCTCTATGAGCTTTTGTTTATTTAGGTTAATTATCAGTATTTATCTTATTGAAAATTAAAACAAATTGAAAATATTTATTAAGTAAATCTTTTTTAAATGATAAATTTGTAGGGGTGCCAGGGTGGCACAGTCTTTTAAGTGTTTCACTCTTGGTTTTGGCTCAGGTTGTGATCTCAGGATTGTGGGATTGAGCCCTGCATTGGGCTCTATGCTCAGCGTGGAGCCAATTTGAGATTCTCTCTTTCCCTCTGCCCCTCCCACTTGTTCTCCCTTCCCCAAATAAATAAATCTTAAAAAATAAACTTGTTAACATCAAACAGCAACTAATTAATCAATTTATTTATCTGCGATTTTAATATTTGTTTATTTATTTATTTATTTATTTTTTGATTTTTTTATTTGCTCATGAGAGACACAGAAAGAGAGAGGGGGCAGAGACATAGGCAGAGGGAGGAGACTCCATGCAGGGAGCCCGATGTGGGACTCGATCCCAGGACCTCGGGATCAAGACCTGAGCCAAAGGCAGACGCTCAACCACTGAGCCACTCAGGTGTCCATAAATAGCATTTGAAAATGAAAAATAACCATTTCCCAAAAACAAAACAAAAGAATGGCATTATGTTACACTTTTGCAAATCTCTGTACTACTGGCTTAATAAAAGCTAGATTCCTTTTTTTTTTTTTAATTTTTTTTTAATTTTTATTTTATTTATGATAGTCACACACACAGAGAGAGAGGCAGAGACACAGGCAGAGGGAGAAGCAGGCTCCATGCACCGGGAGCCTGATGTGGGATTCGATCCTGGGTCTCCAGAATCGCGCCCTGGGCCAAAGGCAGGCGCCAAACCGCTGCGCCACCCAGGGATCCCCCCCACCCCTTTTTAAAGACTTTATGTATTTGACAGCACACACAAACGGGAGTGGCAGGCAGAGGGAGAGGCGGGGAAGTAGACTCCCCGCTGAGCAGGGAGCCCTATGTGGGGCGTCTTGGGATCATGACCTGAGCCTGAAGGCAGATGTAAAAGCTAGATTCTTGTATCTTCTTTTGCATTTCATTTGTTGCAATGTATGGTTTGGTTAAAGTATATAAAAAAGGTTCTGTTTCACCCACATGTTGTTGGAAGAGATGAATATTTTGCCTTTTCAGATAGTTGTGGATATTCTCTTTGATACTTCACCAAAAGTCAGCAAGTGATTATTTCTTAAAGGTTAATTGTAATGTGCAGTCTGAAAACATCAGTTAACTTTTTGTACTCCACTACGTTATAATCCATTGGTTTATGTTGCACTTTGAATGGTTCTTTTAGCAGTGCATGATTTTGTAGTTTTAACATTATTAAGTGTTATTTGGAAAATACTGATCATTGAGTTGATCATTTGTTTCTATATACAAAAAATATCACATCCATTGATAAAAATATCACATCCATTGATAACAATCAGTGTCATCAGAAAAAGTTTTGAGTACTGTATTGAGAAGCTGCTAAGCTCACAGAATCAAATACAAGTTTTCCAAAGTTCTAATTTTAGGTTGAATACTTGAAGACCATTATTGGCAACAAATACTGTCAATTATTTTCATTGAAATGACAAGTTCCCCTTTTTTTAATCTGAGAAATATCTGCTAACTGCCCAATTCTAATACCTAGTTTGAATGTCACTTAATTCTTTCAAGTAAAAATAATATTCCAGTAAAAATGTACAAATTCAGCTCGTAACTTGGTCATAAATGTTTTTCCTTGAAAGAACCTTTCTCTTGGTATAAATTTAATAAAATTAATAGTTTCAATGGCTTCATAAAGGACATTCTTTAGTGAGACTGGCCTTTTACTGTGTGTAGAGATGATGTGAGTGTGTGTGAATGTTTGCTGCCACTGCCTTGATGCACTGTAAAGGGCCGATAGCTTCACCCACCATTGCTTTTAAACCATCAGTGCAGATATTAACATAGTCATAGGGCAAGTAACATATTAATAATATTATAAAAAATAGTTTTGGGCCTCAGGAATCTCCCATGGTTGGGAGCCATTCTTTTAGACTTTAAAAAGAAGGAAGGCGCATCTCCTCTCATAATTAACTTCTCAATACCTGAGACTTCCTCAGGTAGAATAAACCATTTTTGAAAAATTTTATTTTTATCATCCTTATTTTATATAATGGTATTAATTAACATTTTATTGAATGTTATATACTAGGTATAGAGACTAGGCTCTGATATGTGTTTTTTCCACACCACTCAGTAGTTCTCTGATTCTCAGCTGTGACTGTGTGAGCTTCAGTTTTGTAAATAAGCGTCAGATCCCACAGGTTAAGGGTTCAATCTCACAAAACTGCACCCCACTATCATCATTTTCAGATGTCAGTTGCAAGTCTCAGTTGTTCTTGTTCTTCTTACCCACTGGCTATAAATCGGAGGTTTCTGAAACTTCCTCTTTGGATACAATTAATTTGTTAGAGTGGCTTGTAGAACTCAGAGAAGCTTTTAAGTATGTTTATTGGTTTATTATAAAGAAACAGAGGAATGGTCAGATGAAGAGGTATATAGGGCAAGGTCCAGAAGAGTTCTGAGCTTGGGAACTTCTGTTCTCTAGGAGGTTAGGGCATACCACCCTCCAGCACGTGAATGTGTTCTGGTTCACCAGGCCTGGAAGCTCTTTGAACCCCCACCTTTGGTCATATGGAGACTTCATTATGTAGGCAAGATTGATGAAAACATTGGCCATTGAAAACTGAACTCGGTTTCATGCCCCTCTCCCTTCTCTGAAGGTGGTGAAATGGGGGGCTGGAAGATCTATCTCTCTACAATCACATGGTTAAGTTCCCCTGGATCCAGTCCTCTAGAGGGGGTTTCCAAAAGTCCCCTCATTACTTATACTTTTATTGTTCTGGAGCTATTTCGGAAACTTAGGATAAGAGATCAAATGTTATTAACAAGATGTTGCCATTGCTCTTATGTTTAGGAAATTCTGAGGATTTGGGGAACTATAATCCAGAAACAATGGATGAAGGCCAAATATATAATTCTTTTATAAATCATGATATCACATCTGCATTTTGCAGATGAGAAAATAAAGGTACACATGGGTTAATTAAATTGCTCAAAGCCATGCAGCTAGTAATTTTTTTCAACTTGACTCCAGAGTTCAGCTTTTTTTTTTCCCCCTTTAAGTTAATTATTAGGGCTCATGTGCATGTACTTTAGTTGTTTACTCTTTACTACATCATTTATTCTTTTCTTTATCTGTATATTAAGGGAAGTTTTAGGGATGCCTGGGTGGCTCAGTGGTTAAGCATCTGCCTTCAGCTCAGGGCATGATCCTGGAGTCCTGGGATTGAGTCCCATGTCGAGCTCCCTGCCTGGAGCCTGCTTCTCCTTCTGCCTGTGTCTCTGCACCGCCCCCCCCATGTCTCTCATGAATAAATCTTAAAAAAAAAAAAAAAAAAAGAAGGGAAGTTCTATATCCCGATAGTGATTTTTTTAAAGGAAGTTAAAAACAAAGTGGAATAGTAATTTTTAAATAGATTTTTTAAAAAAGATTTTATGTATTTATTCATGAGAAAGACAGAGAGAGAGAGACAGAGACATAGGCAGAGGGAGAAGCAGGCTCCATGCAGGGAGCCCGACATGGGGACTCGATCCCGGGTCTCCAGGATCACGCCCTGGGCTGAAGGCGGCGCTAAACCGCTGGGCCACTGCGGCTGCCCTTAAATAGATATTTTTACAGCAACATACTTTAAAGACCTCTTTAGTTTTACATTTAGAGGGCAAATTTTTTGTATATATGTGTGTGTGTATATATATATATATATATATATATATATATATATATATATAATTTCCATTAATCTTTAAAACAATCCTATTGTGGAATACAGAAGGTTAATAGTTTCTCATCTTTTAAGTGATGATTATGACTAAAAATTTGTGACTTAATGAAGGTTGCAAAAGGAGTTAGTGACAGAACCTGGACATAAACCCTCATAGTTCTCAATTAAAATTTAGAATCCTTTCTCATGCACTGTGTTGTTTTACCTAACCAAATCGGACTTGGTTAGGTAATACCACAGCTGTGGAGTAATTTTTTTTTTTTTATAACTTCTGTTACGATAAGGGCTTAAAAATTTTTTTAAAAAATATTTTATTTATTTATTCATGAGTGACACACACACAGAGACAGGCAGAGACAAGGCACAGGGAGAAGCAGGCTCCATGCAGGGAGCTCAATGTGGGACTTGATCCTGGGTCTCTAGGATCACCCCCTGGGCCAGAGGCAAGCACTAAACCGCTGAGCCACCCAGACGTCCCATGATAAGGAATTTAGCTAATATAAAATGCTTATCTTTTAAGATTTTTTTCTCTAGTAATAATATTTCTAGTTAGAATAGATTACTTCATGGGAAGTAAAGTTTCGTTAGTTATTATCAGAATCTTAAAATATTTTCATGTTTAACTAGAAATAGATTGTAGAGCACACACACAAGTAGTTATTTTAGAGCTCCTACATGGTCATCTGTTTTTCTCTTAAGTCTTAAGACCCACTTTTCTCTGACATAAGTAAAATCATGTTACTTTATGTCATGGTTGCTTATGCAGAATTGTCGGGCCAATAAAAATTGTTTTCAGATGTTTCATGCCTAGAACATTTTTCATATTTAAATATATATTTTTTGAGATTTGGATTTTCCTTTTTGTTTACATTTTTACATAAAAAACCCAAGATGAGGGATCCCTGGGTGGCGCAGCGGTTTCGCGCCTGCCTTTGGCCCAGGGCGCGATCCTGGAGACCCGGGATCGAGTCCCACGTCGGGCTCCCGGTGCATGGAGCCTGCTTCTCCCTCTGCCTGTGTCTCTGCCTTTCTCTCTCTCTCTGTGTGTGTGACTATCATAAATAAATTAAAAAAAAAATTAAAAAAAAACCCAAGATGCTTTGGTAATTATGTATTTTATAGGAAAGCCTGTTAGCGATTATAATCATTAAAAACATTTAACCAATATCTATTAGTGCTTACGCTGAACTCTGTCTCCGCAAAGCAGTTACAAGAATTGGGCTCTATTTTTCAAGTGGTTATAATATATTCTGACCTTTTTGGATGTGAACAGAAGTGATCTATAGCCATCTAGGTAACTGTACACTTCAGTATTACTTGTGTTTTAAGTATTTTATATATAAAAAGCTTTAAGACAGTATTCTACATGGAGTTGGTGAAAAAGGAAAAACATTAGTTATTTGATAATTGTTTTATAAAGAAATGTGTATCATAATTCTTGATTTTCCTTCCTTCCTCTTTAGGCTTCTCATTTCTTTTGGGGATTATGGGCTTTGATTCAAGCCAAATATTCCACTATTGATTTTGATTTCCTTGGGTAAGTTTAATTGTACTTATATGCATTACACATCACATTTGTCTCTCCTTTTTTTTTTTTAATTTTTTTGGATATACACACAACTCGTAGGGTATTATTTTCAGTCAAATGTTTATAAGGGTTGCATATATTTAATAATTGGTCTGCAAGGAAATCTGGTACAATCTGTTAAATACTGTATTAGAAAACTGTCCAGTAGATGGTGCAATAAACTAAAAATAAGTCCTTTGAAAAATCTTAAAACTTAAAATCAGCTTAGAAGGGTGAGTGGAAAATGAAGGGGAAGGATTTTTTCATTTTTTATTAATTCTCTTGTTATTCATTTCTCACTTAGGTATGCAATTGTTCGTTTTAACCAATACTTTAAAATGAAGCCTGAAGTTACTGCATTAAAAGTGCCTGAGTAAAGAAGAGATTCGATTATTTTCAAGTAGCTGAACAGTGCTTGTGTATCTTTTCTTAAGAAATTTTGAAGAGCCAATATTTGTTAAAATTCTGTTGTTTAATTTGGTTATCTTGCTTTACAAATTATGCCTCTAAACAACCAATCTATTTTTTAAATAGACTGAATGATGTCAAGAAGTATACCTACTGCTATCAGTTTGTGGTGGATTAGAAGTTTGTTAAATCTGCAAAAAGGTATAAATATGTCAGTAATCCTTTGATAATTTAATCTATGTTATATGTGAATTATTTATTATGAATTTAACATAATTCTGTGACTGCTTTCATCTGTTTCATCTGTTGGTTGAGTGTAAGCAATGAAAATGTTCCAGAGAAGTTTTTTTTAAAGTTTTGCTTTAATAATATTAATTTTAGCAAACAGTCTAGATGTTCAGTATAACCTTTTTATCTTGATACACTATAAGAAATATGAATCATCACTCTTGAAATGCCAGATACTGGTATAGATAACTTAGGGTATTCATAAAAAAATATCTGTATATGAGGGTAAACTGTATTTACTGTCTATGTTTAGTGGTACATCTTTTTGAATAGAATATTGGAAAGTGCTTTTCTTGGGGGGAATATATTTTAAAATTCTCCTTTTCCTACATATCTGGCAGTATAAATATTAACATTTATTGTATAATCCTGGAATAGATACAGTTACCAAAATCTGCATTAAATAATGTTTTCACATACTAAATATGGTCATTTAGGTTGCTAGTTTGTTCTTAAAATTTGATAATATCACTTTACTTTTTACCAAAAATTTTGTTTTACTTAGGTATTTGGTGTTTTTGTCTGTTTAGCTGGTAGAACAAATGCTAATTTTTGAAACAAAGAATGTTTATCATACTTGGGAACAAGAAAATGTCATTTAGATAGATTCTTTTTTACCTTCCCAGATTCATTCCTTAACAGTTGGTTTCATGTTTTCATTTGGCTCCATGTCTTTAGAATGATAGCAAATGATTATGTGATACATGTAGGTTCAGAGAAATAAATTAAAAGCAGTTAAATAAGGAGCATTTAGGACATTGATCTACTACACTTATAATTTAACAAAATGTGAATTAAATATTCATGGTAGGAGGGCTTCTGTTTTAGTTTCTCTTGATTTTGTTTGTGTATTTTTAATTTTGTTTGGGAGTGAGAAGGTGGCAATTATTCTATGGAAGGAAGTTAGATCTTTGCGATAAGTAGGGTTCACGTTTTGAAGACTGCTGATGTGTGGAGTTGAGCAGTCATGGTTAACTTTACTTAGAAAATTAGTCTGACAAGCTTTGCACTTTGGTCACATAAGTGCCCATGTACAAAGTTGACTTAATGAATCTGCATATTCAGAATATGCAACTACAAACATATCCTCTGAGAAATCTTCTGGGGAGTTTGATGTATTATTCCAAATGACTTATATTCTCAGATAAATGCTTTAAAATACTTGGATTATCTCAAGATGTTTAAAGCTAATAAGCAGAAACACTTAAGGCCATTTTAAATGGTAAATTCTAGTTACATAAATAGAATCTTAAAATCTGCTTGTGTCTATAACAGTGTTAGGCTAAGATTTGTTTTCTACCTCCCCAATGTTACAAATGTTCACTTCTGTTTTTATAAATCATATTACTGTAGGATCAATAGAATTTTACTTAATTGACTAAACGAACGGAACCAATTAAACAATTAATAGCTTTTTACATAATGTTAGAGTGAGTTTGAAGAGTTGTTTTTGGTAGAATTTTCATCTGTGGTTGGAACATTATCTTTTTTTTTTTTTTGGAACATTTTCTTAGGACAATGAAAAATATGTAATACCCTTGAATTTTTTTTTTTTTTTTGGACTTCTGACTTTTTAAAGTGCAACAGTATATATCTTGGAGTACTATGGGAGAAGAGAAGATCAGTTTTCTATCTTACTCCATATTTTTCAAATTATTTTGAGTAGAGATTCACTGAGCCTTTGCTGGTAGAGTGCACATAGCTGCTGGCTGTGATACTCTTGTGTTTCAGAGAGATTCATATAGAACTCAATGTAAAGGGGAGTAGAGGCTCTTACTTTAGCCCTAGGAGTATGCAGTGGAAGTTGGAAACAAAATGAGACATTTAAGATATTTTCCCCACTTTATGGCTAGATTTTGGATGTTGTGATGCTCCCACTACCTGTACAGGTTTTTGGGATCATGCTGCAGGCTAGTAAGAGGGTTCAAAATTGCTTTCCTTTTTATTGGCCATTTAAAGGATTCTTTATGAAGGAGAAACATCCCTCTAAAATTTGTCATATGGCTTGCTGAGATGTCTGTTGCCTTTTATGTTACGCTAAGGAACTTGAATGCCTTACCTAATAACTCAGCTGGTAGTAAGCTCATTTTGTAAATATGAAAATGGTTGTTAGAGAAGTGGCATTCATGTATACTCATTGTTAGTCAATAGACCATAGTGGCCTGGATGCTTTAATAAGCAAAATTCCACATTTTTTTCCCTTTTGTTCCTTACATACTTGTATGATCTTACCTGACCAGTAATACTTGTTTTTTCCCCCCTGTTGACCGTATGCTACCACGTGATTTTCTGGAAATCAAAGAGATGTGGTAGTAAATCATACTGTTCACATGGTCATTTGAGATCAACATGAGCACAAAACTCAACTAGGTCTGCCTGGAATGTATATAAAACAGTGTAAATAAAAATTTGTAAATTAGTGTGAATTGTATCTTGCATATGAGATTGTGTATTGTTTTGCATTCTCTTTTGTAGGTGTTTTTTTGTTTTGTTTTGTTTTTTGTTTTGTTTTGTTTTTGGTAAGGAAATGATACAGCTCTTTGGTTTTAGACTGGAAATAGCCAAAAATTCTGGCTGCACAGTGGGATAACAAGAGGAACTGGAAATAGGGTTTATCAGTTTTTGTTAATGTCAGTACTTATTTATTTAGCCTCTCAGTGCCTAATATGACTTTTCTTCATTCTTTAGTTGGCCATTAGTTTGTATGAGATTAGACTCCTATAAGCAGTAAATAAATACACTGCGAGCTCCTTTCTTTGAGTCATGATTCTAAGCTAAAGCAAATTAAAAATATAATGTGATGATTGCAGTCTGAAGTATTATCTTTTCCTATTTTCACGGTTGTTAACCGTTTTCTCCAAAAAAAAACCTTGAAATTAACCGTTTTCTCCAAAAAAAACCTTGAAATTTTACATATTTCTGTGTGAATCTAAATCCCATATATATGAGATATGATAATAGATCTTAGTTCAACTTAAGCGTATCTCAGTTGGCTTCTCTAAATATAAAATTGTTCATTACGGATTATAAAAGAAAAGACATAAGTCATGAGTAATCTTTTAATGACTGCTATTTTCATCTTCGCTAAACTACAAATATTTATTTCAGCTTATAAATGTTACTGAAGCTTCCAGATTTGAAGCAGAAAAGTTCCCCAAGCACTCTCAATTAAAAGTTAAAAACTTTCACTTTAAAAATTATATACATTTTTCTTTTTTACATTACACAAAGCTTTCTGTATCATTTTTAAATTACTTCATAAAAGAATGAGAATACTATCAGTTTGATTTTCTGCTTTAAATTGCTTATAATAAGCATTTCAGATGCATTCCAAAGTGATACAGATTTAAGCTTCTAATATTAATCAGTCATTCAGTTGATAGACAAAATCACTAATGCTTTATGCTAGGAGGAGAGTTTTGTTATTGGCAGTAAACTTTACTACTTTCCTCAAAAGGCAAACACAATTATTGTGCACGAAGGAAATAAATTATAAGTGTGTAGTAAAGCAGCTTTCTCTTTATTTCAAAATTGATTAGCTCTGATTTTTCTTCCTTAGTTTATTAGATTTTAGAATGTCCTTTGGAAACTTTAGTTATATATTAAGATATTCTGTTTTTTTTTTTAAAGATGTTAGTTACATTGAATCAACTTTTTTTTTTTTCAAGTTATATATCACTTGTGTGATTACAGTGTTATGTTTTGGGTTTGATACTTTTTGGACAGAAAAGCATAGCAATTATTTTAAACGATTTTTTTTACCCATTTTTGAAGCTTAGTCTGTGAGTGTGTTGCTATAAAAGAAAATACTTGGGTTTGGATTACTTGAATACTTGAAAATTGAAATTAGTAAGGTATCTTACATAATTCGATTTTTCTGAACACAGTTTTTATACAAACAACTTTAATTTCTGCATCATAATTTGAAATAGATTTCAACTCTTTGGACAAAAAAATGATAGGCTTATAGACAAATACTGTTTTGTTTTTCAGGCATCCCAAATTCAACTTTTTGTAGTAGATTTCTGTCCTAGAATCTGCTTTCTCTTTTTTCCTGTACCTAATGCACTTACTATGCTATAGATGGTATCAAATAGCAGGTTAAATAAAATCTGTGTTCATTATGAATCTTTCAGCTTTTCTAGTTATGAAAAATTGCTCTGTAAAATACTCTTAGTTCCTAAATATAGGCATATTTTTGTTTACATCCTACCCATTAATGGTATAAATACCATTAATCATTTCAACAAAATGTTTATAAAAATTGAAAACATTATATGTTATATTGGAACTAGTTAGTGAAGGGTAAGAAGAAGCTGGCTGATTTGAATTGTTTCATTAGTTAAGTTCCAAGACTTTTTAATAAAGGAGTTTCCAGAGATAGGTTGACACCTGGTAGTATCCATGTAAATTAGCTTTTATGATCTGGAGAAAACCCCCCAAAAGCAGTGGAAGAGGCAAGAGGATTTACTTGCCATGGTTGTGGTGTGCTGCTACTTCAGTTTTGGTAGTAACACACTGAAGTTTTTATTGTCCAGTAATCTGAAGAAGTTTCCTGTTATTTATGTGTACTAAACGAACTATAAATTGGTGGAATCTGCTAAGGGGAAACTTAATTTTAACTGTACTGTATTTAGGAACCTTTTTACAGCTGGGTGAAGTTTCCATGATTTGAAGTATTTGAATTTTAAAATATACTGTTATCATAAGAAATAAGACATGGCATTATTCCATGTTCTCAAGTGATAATTTCCTTATTGAGTTTCAGAAGAAAAAAAACAAAATGAATAATTGTCACTGCGTTAGCTGTATGTTGAATTGGAAAATTGTGGCATAAAGCTTAAATTTGTGTTTATCAAATGTGAACCATAGTAGTATAATGCTGCTTTGTATATACTGTAAGTGCTACAAATAGTCTCAGCACTGAAAATGTATTGATACCTCTCAAATGAATGCAAATTTTGATGTAGGTGTTTTGATATGCCTCAGAAAGTATCTGAGTGTCTGAGAACTTGTTAATCTGTTTGGTAATGGAGATACTTCCTGTTTTTTGTTGCATATTTTCATGTTTAAAATTTAATTTTTACATTTTTACTACTGTTAATTTAAGTCTAAAACTTGTTCTGTGGATAAAAATGGGGTTGCCAGTGAAGAAAATGAAAAACAGCCTCATTCATGTAACTGCTTAAGTAAAGATACATTTTTGCCGTATGTTCATAAACTTTTAATGAAGTTGTTTGTATTTCTGTTTGAATATAAGTGACATTTTGGCTTTATTTCTGTTTAATAAGGCCTTTTACCATTGATTAAATGAAGGAATGTATCTTTTTGAAGAGATTTATATTCTGTAAATAAAAATTGGTTGTAACAATAAAGTTGGGTTCTAACTGCAGTGTACCATAAATCTTGTTATATCAACTTATTTTTGTGGTTTTTCTTTTTCAAGGGGGAGAAAACAAGACTTTTTAAAGTTAGTGTATAACTACGTATTTGATGTGATTCTTAAAATTTTATTTTCATTTTTTCATTTTTTCATTTTTATTTATTCATGAGACACCCACAGAGAGGCAGAGACAGACACAGGCAGAGGGAGAAGCAGGCTCCTCGCCGGGAGCTCGATGTGGGACTTGATCCCAGGACCCTGAGATCATACCCTGAGCCAGAGACAGATGCTGCTGAGTCACCTAGTCGTCCCGATTCTTAAAATTTCTAATTCTCTGATTTTTCAAAACTTGTTAGTACTATATAATAAGTTTGCTTTCAGAAACTTAGTTGAGGTGAGAGTGTAGAATATTATGTAACTCAGTAAACAAATTCTGTTTACTTAGTTTAAAAATTTATTATTCTTTTAACCACTATACTTTGTATCTTCACTGCAATTAGTGTGAGAAACAGATAAAGACACTGTCTGGAAAAAGAAAAGACACTGTCTGGGACTTATTAGCATCTTAGTCTAGGCAGAGAGTATCCATTTAATCAATATTTATTAAGATTTAATTATCAGGTAATGTGATAGATGGTGGAGATACAAAGATACGATCTCTACTGTCAGATAGTAATGAAGATCAGTTCTCCATAACAAAAATAGTCAGCTCTGTGTGTGTATTTGTGTGCGTTATAAAATATTTTCCAAGTTGGGCTTATCTAGTGTTTCCTAGATAAATAAATTTCTATTCTAGATAAAATTCTAGATAAATTTCTATTAGAATGAGGTTATGTATCACCAGCCAAAATACTACAAAAGTGAAGTGTCTTTTTATGACTGTAGCACATCTGAGGAACTCATTATTGATGTTGATTTTCAACACTTGGTCAGAGTAGTATTCTGTGTCTTCACTCTGTAGTGTTTATTTTTCCCCTCGTGGGGAAATAAGCAATCTGTGGAGAGAAACTTTAAGATTATGTTTAGTATTTTGCTTGTTGTCAAAGGTCCCATTTCTCTTCTCTGACTTAGCAACACTTGATAATTGTCTAAACTAATCTTTATCATGATAGCTGTAAGATGCACATTTTTCAGTTCTGTTACATGGTACACATATATCATTTATTGTAAGGAATCTTCCATGTGTATCTTTATATCATCTACCATTCGTGTGACTTTTTTTAAAGTATAGACTCTTAGGTTTCTATTTTGTTTAGTGGATTATAATCTGTTACTATACTTATTTACATTGATGTTAAAATGTCTGAGATTTGGCTTGGGGGAGCCCCATCAGATCTGGCTCCTCTTGATGTACCAGACATGTTTTGAGCACTTCCTTACTTTATAGTAAAATAAGATGTTCCATACTAATTTTGGAACCTTTCGGAGCCTTGTAATCAGCCATTTTTCCAAGGCACTGGTGTGTGTGTGTATGTGTGTGTGTGTGTGTGTGTGTGTGTTTTGAGAATAATACTTAGAAACTTAAATCTGAGAACTAGTTATGCTCATGAATTCTGGGATATCACAGACAGAGCAAGGAAACACAAACACATTTGTATGTAAATATATATTTTACAAATTGTTAGTACACTTCAATTTTTTTTAAAATTTTTATTTATTTATGATAGTCACAGAGAGAGAGAGAGGCAGAGACACAGGCAGAGGGAGAAGCAGGCTCCATGCACCGGGAGCCCGACGTGGGATTCAATCCTGGGTCTCCAGGATCGTGCCCTGAGCCAAAGGCAGGCGCCAAACCGCTGTGACACCCAGGGATCCCCTACACTTCAATTTTTAATCCAACTTCACAGAGTCCCATTTGCCTCTCCCATTTCACATTTGTTTCTCCCTTTTATTTATTCTGTTAATATAAACATATTTTAAGTATACTATAGAATTAATGTGCCCTTTTCGTTGTTTTATATGAGGTGTGAAACGTTAATAGATGTATTACTAGTGATTTTAATCTTAGACCTTTGATTAAAATGGTGCCTACCAAATTTCTCCCTATTTTCTACTTTGAAAAAAATTTTTTAAAAACGATTTTATTTATTAGAGCATGAGCAAGGGGGAGAGGGAGAAGCAGGCTCCCTGCTGAGCCAGGAGTCTGATGTGGGGCTCAATCCTAGGACCCTGGATCATGACCTGAGCTGAAGGCAGACACTTAACCAACTGAGCCCCCCAGGTACCCCTACTTTTATTTTTTAAAGACTTTACTACAGAAAGCATGCACGTGAGCTCAAGCACAGGCCCTCAGGAAGGGGAGAGGGAGAGAGAGAAGCAGACTCCTCACTGAGCAGGGAGCCTGATGTGGGGCTTGATTCCAGGACCCTGGGATCATGACCTGAGCCAAAGGTAGATGCTTAATCCACTGAGTCACCCAGGTGCCCCTCTAATTTTCTACTTTTAATTAGTAGGTGTCCAATGGGAGGAGATACTCTGAAGCTGATTTTTTGCTATTTTAGCATCTATCAGTTTTTGCCAGCAGCAGTTACTGTGTTGTTTGTTGCTAATTTTCTATTTCCCTCTTTCCTTCTACTTTATCTCAATTTTAATTATAAAATTGGGATTTTACTGTAGGGAAGAGCTATATTCCAAAAGTTAACTTACTTATTCAACTGTATCAGTAAGAACACAAGAATATTTAATTCTATAGGCTATAATCCATTACAGTCATTTTGTTGTTCATTTTGTTCCAGTTTGGTGATTGAGAGCTCTTCTAGGTTGTTCTGCTGTATCGTTTCAATATACCCATACCATTTCTTGAGCACTTCCTATTCTGGCAACAGAAGGCTTTGAATTCAGGTGAGGCTTATACTTTCCCTGCCCAAACCCTCAATTCAATTATTTCTTAAAGGAGCCCTGATTTTATAGGGAATGAGACTTAGAAACTAAGATCCGGGGTGCCAGGTGTGCTCGTTGTTACTGGGGTGTTACTACTACTGTATTCTGTCATTGACCTTATCAGGAAATTGTGTGTGTGTGTGTGTGTAGATACATGTGTGTTATTTTAAGCATATATACATATGACATAAAATAACACATGCATCTATATCCATCTGCTTTTATGACTTTACTTTGAAATCATTTATTTTTTTATTTTTAAAAATATTTTTATTTATTTATGAGAGACACAGAGAAGAGAGAGAGAGAGAGGCAGAGACACAGGCAGAGGGAGAAGCAGGCTCCATGCAGGGAGCCCGACCTGGGGATCCCAGGTCCGCAGGATCACGCCCTGGGCTAAAGGCGGCGCCAAACCGCTGAGTCACCGGGCTGCCCTATTTTGAAATCATTTAAAACTTATAGGAAAGTCACAAGAATGGTTCAGTGCACTGCCATACATCCTTATTCAAAAGACCCTCAATATTTCACTTCCTTTTCTTTATCATATTCTTTTTATTTCTTTTGGCGAATTATTTGAGAGCAGTTTGCACACATAAATCTCATTTACCCCTCAATACTTGTATTTCCTAAGAACATTGTCTTTTCACCTCCATTTTTCCTTGTGTATGTAGTGTGTTATTTTTTTTCTAGCTCTCAAGATTTCTTTTTAGTTGGTTTTCAACAATTTATGATGTATTTAAATGTGCATCCTTTGTATTATCCTGCTTAGGTTTTAGCCTTTTTGAATCTGTAGGTTTATCTTTTACCAAATTTGGGGGGGGAATTTCCACCTTTTATTCAGGTATATATTCTGACCCATTCTCTTTTCTCTGTGATTCTCCAAAGATTGCTTGATATTGTTTTACAGGTCATACTAATGCTCTGTTCACTTTACCCCCAATATCCATTTTCTTTTTGTTGGGCTGGAATATTTATTGGTCTGTATTCATATTTCACCGATGTTTTCTCCCATCTCATTTCCAAACTGCCGTTATGCCTGTCCAGTGGCTTTTTTCATTTTGGGTATTATTATTTTCAGTTCTAGAATCTCCATTTGATTATTCTTAAAGTTTCCATTTCTTTCCTGAGATTTCCTGTTTATCATGCACAGAGTCATCTTTACATCTTTGAGCATAGCTGTAATAGTTTTAAAATCCTCATCCACTAATTTCAACAACTAAGTCATCTTGGGAACTGTTGATTAGGTTTCTTTAGAGTATGGCTCATATTTTCTTGTTTCTCTGTATGTCTGGTAGTTTTGATTTGTATCCTGGACACTGTGATTGATATGTTGTAGAGACTGTTAATACTATTGTGATCCTCTGGAAAGTATTGGTTTTCTTTGCAGTATAACTTGGCTTCCTCTTTGGTAAGCAGCAGTTAAAATTTTCAGTTTTTTTTTAGCTTTAGCTTGGCTGCTTGGAGTATGCCCCACACACGCATAGTTCAGAGGTCAGAGATTTGGGCAGAGTAGATATATGCAGATTTTAGTGCCATCTCTTTCTGGGTCTTTTTGGAATTTCTTTTCATACTTTCCAGCTGTTGAGGTTGCCTTGAACTCTGTCCTCTCTTTCTTCAAGTAAGACTACAGGGCTTCTGAGTTTTAGTGACACCACAAATCTCTGACTGGTGGCTTGCCCTCAGGCATAATGTTAGTAAGATGGGAAACCCTGTGTCTGTCTCTCTCTCTTTTTTAAGTGTAAATTCTGCTCTAGTTTCTTTTTGCTATTGGTTGCTCTCTACTGCTTTTAGATAGTTTTATGTATTATATCTCAAGTCTATGGTTATCTCTGGGAACCTTGATCCAATAGGAGTTACTCCTCTATCATTCGATGTAGAGTCTTTTTATCTTAGCTTTTTTATTTGGGAATATAATTGATACTTTAAATTGATATGGATGTTAAATGCTCTGAAATTTTCTCTAAATATACTTTCAACCAAAGACTATATATTCTAACTTGCAGTGTTTTAATTACTATTTTTCAGGAATTGTGTAATTTGTTTCTTTTTACTCAAGAGTTGTTAATAGAAAGTTGTTTAATTTCTAGGTGGAAAGACCTTTTTGATTTTTGTTCTTAATATCTTGGGTT